TTAAATGCAATATTGCAGTGGCTCTTCCTTCCCACGGGGAGCAAGGGCCTGTATTAATGGTTCACCCTCAAAGTTTATTGGATCCTATAGGATTCTAGGAAACCATGAGAGGGATTCCAGCCAATTTGACTGGCGCTTCTGTTGAGGCCCTGGTTGATAGCTGGCTGGCCACCACCACCAGGGCTGTTGACACCATTGCACCTAAACGCCCATATCGGCGCAGAGATTGCCCTTCACCTTGATTTAATCCAGAGCTGCAATCAATGAAGCAAAATAGGAGACGCTTAGAGCGTATATGGAGGCGGAACCCGACGGAAAATAGTCAAATAGCTGTCAGGATTGCACTAACCTCTACCAATCTAAGGTGAAGGCTGCTAGTCGATCTTACTTCGCTGTCTGGATAAGCAAAGCCTCCAACCAGCAGGCAGAACTTTTCCGTATAGTTCATGATCTATCTGGAGTTGGTCATAGTGACTGGCCTCCCACTAGCATCTCACCTGAGCAATTTGCAGCCTTTTTAAAATCAAAAGTGGAGGTCATCGGCTGGGATCTTGTCCCCTATTTGAAAACAGTGGATCAAGCTGAGACGTCCAGCCCTCCGTCTTGCCCAATGAGACTTAACCACTTTCAGCCTGTGATGTCAGACATGGTGGACAAAGTGCTTGACCGCTGTCGTGCCACCACCTCCTCCCTCGACCCTTGCCTGGCCTGACTAATCAAAGCAGCCAGGCTTATAACATCTGAATGGGCTACGGCAATAATTAATGGGTCTCTCCAGGAGGGCAAGGTTCCCCTTGCCCTCAAGGATATGCTTATTAGGCCCATTAGGGAGAAGCCGAGCTTGGCGATATTGGTAATTAGAGGCCCGTTGCCGTTTCTTTCCTCAGCAAGGTAGTTGAGAGGGTGGTGGCCGATCAGCTGCAGGCTCTTCTGGATGAAACCAATGCCCTGGATCCATTCCAGTCAGGCTTCAGGCCGCGCCATGGTAAGGAAACAGCATTGGTCGCCCTGTTTGATGACCTGCTGAGGGAGGCTGACCAGGCAAAATGTCTCTGTTGGTCCTCCTCGATATCTCAGACGCCTTTGATAATGTCGACCATGGTATTCTCCTGGGGAGGCTGTCCGAGTTGGGAATTGGTGGCCAGGCTTTTGCGTGGCTCCGTTCCTTCTTGGAGGACCGTACCCAGGGAGTGCAGATTGGATAGAGTTTCTTGGACCCGTGGAGCCTCAATTGTGGGGTTTCGCAGGGCTCGATGATCTCTCCAGTGCTGTTTAACATCCATATGAGGCCACTGGGAAGGGTCATCAGGGGATGCTGGGCTTCATGTCATCAGTATGCTGATGATACTCAGCTCTACATCTCCTTTTCTCCAACCACAGTGGATGCTGTTTTGTCCCTTGAGCGCTGCCTGGGGGCTGTTCAGCAGTGGATGCAGGTGAACGGACTGAGGATGAATCCGGGCAAGACGGAGGTCCTTCGGGTGGGTGTCCCAGACATCTTACCACCAAGAGTGAGGTTCGCGGCTTGGGTGTACATCTGGACCGGGCACTCACCATGGAGACCTACGTGTCGTCAGTGGTCCGTTCCACACATTTCCACCTTCGGTGGATTGCCCAGCTGCGTCCCTATCTTGATGTGGGGGTTCTCACCACTTCGGTTCATGCGCTCGTAGTCTCAAGATTAGACTACTGTAATGTGTTATATGTAGGGCTGCCTTTAAGACTGACGCAGAAACTTCAGATCGTACATAATGCGGCAGCCAGACTTCTAACTGGGGTGAAAAGGTACCAACGTATTACCCCCACGCTAGCTGCCTTGCATTGGTTGCCCATTCATTTCCACGTTGATTTCAAAGTTCTTACGATTACATATAAAGCCCTAAACGGTTTAGGAGCTCGATATCTGGCAGAGTGCCTCCTCCCACCCAGTTCTGCCAGAGTCACTTGTTCCAGCCAGGCCGGGTGCCTCAGGGGCCTAATGCTGAGGGAGGTCTGGAAGGAAAGAACAAGGAACCGGACCTTCTCGGCAGTGGCCCCTCGCCCCTGGAACAACTTGCCTTTGGAGGTCCACCTAGCTCCCTCTCTGGGTGTCTTCTGAAGTAAACTTAAGACATGGCTATTTGGGTAGGCTTTCCCTCCTGCTGTATCTTAAATTCACATTTTAACATTTTGGATTTATTGGATGTTATTGGTTTGTTTTTAAATTGGTAATGCCGCCCAGAGTAGACCTTTTGTGTAGATGGACAGGGTATAAATCTAATAAACAAACAAACAAACAAACAAACAAACAAATAAATAAATAAATAGAATTTTGGTGGAACCACGCATAAGTGTTTTCTTGATTTGTAAATATTTATTTTTCTTATGTGCTGTCAAGTCACCTCTGACTTATGGTGGCCCTCTAATTGAGTGACTTCCAGAAGTATTCTATTATTAAGAGGTCTGCTCAGCCTTGGAAAACTCAAACACATTGCTTCCTTTATGGAGGCAATCCTCCACCTCCTATTTGTCTTTCTCATTTCCTGCTGCCTTCAACTTTTTCCTAGCATTATTGTGTATTCCAAGATCAAGTGTGCCCAAAATACGAGAGCCTTAGTTTAAGCATTTTTGCCTTTACAGAGAATTTAGGCTTGATTTTACCTGAGATCCACCGATTTGTCTTTTTGATAGTCCTGGGTATCTGCAAAGCTCTTCCCTAGCACCATATTTCGAAATGAATTGATTTTTTCTTGTTGAGTTTCTTCACTGTCCAGCTGAAACATCCATACATTGAAGATATAATCATGTTGATGATCTTGGCCTTTGTCTCCAGTGATGCATCTTTATACTTGATTAGCTTCTCTAGTTCCTTCATAGCTATTCTCCCAAGTCCCATTCCTCTTCTAATTTTTTGGTCGCAGCCTCTATTTGGTTTGATGATCGAACCAACATATACAAGACTATACATTGAGCTGTCCAGCCAGCTACTGCTTCCTTTATGAAGCCAAGTAAAATGTTACATATGAGTATATTCCTTGGGAGATTGTCTTTATATTGTATGACTTGGAACATTAAGACTGGCATTTTACATTCTGGATTCAGGACTCATTGTGCTCCACTTATGATGCAATCCTGTACAATTTACTCAGAAGTAAACCTTTTGAGTTCATTCGGACTTTGTTCTAATAGGTTTCTGTTTGCTAGCTCCTAATACAGCAGAGCAAAGGAATAAAACTGAGACAGATCCTAGGGAGCCAGCAGTGAGAGTGAGCAAACAAGGAGAATTAACAGGAGTTTGATGGAAGAGGCCCCTAAGAATTTTTTATTTCTGGATATTATATATTACTGGACTTTCCCAGCATCTCTCAAGGCAGTTAAAACAAAGAAAAGAGCACTCATGTACAAACATAAATTAAAAAGAGAATAAGGATTATGGAGGGAAGAGAGACCTCTGTGGTGGTGAGCTGCAAAGTGTTTGCAATGCTTGTCTTCATGCCTGAGCACTACTACCCTGTGATACATGTAACAAATGCAAACTAGTATCACTGATGGAAGGAAAAAGCCAAAGAACTAGAGCAGCAAGTGTCACACTTGAGCCTAGTTGAGGATACCGTAGTCAATAATAGTATGAATGAGACAAATCTTGGAATTGTTGTAGATCGCAAGCCAACAATGCTGTATGGCTGCAGAAAAGGCAGCTGCTGTTTTAGGCTCCAAATCTCATGAAGTACTAGTTTCCTTCTATCTGGCACCGGTTAGGCCTCGCCTTGAGTACTGTGTCCAGTTCTGAACACATCACTTTAAGAAGGATACTCACAAACTGGAACAAGTTCAGAGCAGGACAATAAGGAATGATCAGAGGACTGGAAACTAAATCCTATGAGGAAATACTGAAAGAACTGTGCATGGTTTAGCCTTAAGAAAAGAAGACAGAGATATAATTGTACTTTTCAAATACTTGATTGTCATGCAGAGTAGGGGTGGGATCTGTTCTCAGTTATCTCTGAGTGCAGGACATGTAATAATGGGATCAAGTTATAGGAAGCTAGATTTTGGTTGAATATCAGGAAAAACTTCCTCACCGTTAGGGCAGTACAGTAATGAAACCAATTATTATGGGAGGAAGTGAGTGCTCCAATGCTGGAGGCATTCAAGAAAAAATTAGATAACTATCTGTCAAATATACCGTGTTCCCCCCAAAATAAGACAGGGTCTTATATTAATTTTTGCCCCAAAAACCACATTAGGGCTTATTTTCAGGAGATTTTTTTCCACGTACAACAATGTACATTTAGTCAAATACAATCATGTCATCTTCCGGTTGCTGCACAATGCTGCATAATGGTGGAGGGCGGGGTTTCACTTACCTGGGGCTTATTTTGTGGGTAGGGCTTATATTATGAGCATCCTGAAAAATCATACTACGGCTTATTTACAGGTTAGGTCTTATTTTCAGGGAAACAGAGTAGTTTGATTTGGATTCCTGCATTGAGCAGGAATTTGGACTTGATAGCTTTATAGACCCATTCCAATTATGTTATCCTATGATTCTGTGAATTGTTCTTTTAAAATACTAAAATCTGAAGTATTCATAAATCTCTTACTGAAGGATATTTAAAATATTTTGGTTTCTCTACTCCACTTTTGAAAGATCAGGTTCATCTAAATGTGTGTCTGGGGAAGAGGGGATCCTGCTAAATTTATTTTATTGTATTTATTTATTCGATGTTTACCCCGCCCCTCTAGACAACGTCTACTTGGGGCGGCTAATTTCAGGAGGTAAAAGTTATTCCTCACAGTCATAAACACCTTTAATGGCAACTTGTATAGTATGTTTATTTAGACAATGTAAATGGGTATATCCTAATGAGATGGAGCTAAAAGGCCAAGGTTTATTATGTTCTCATGTGAGACAAATAAATGAGAAAGGTTCCCATATTGTTCCCAGAATAATTGTAGCAATTATGCTGCACTTCCTACTGTACTCCACCTACTTTGCATCATTGCTTCCTTTCTCACAGTTGTAGCTAAATGCCAAAGCAGCACAAGCTGGACTGTGCACAGTAACTGAGAAGGCAGAAACATAGGCTGACCATCAGCCAAAGATATAGGCAAGTATGATTATTTCTCCTTTCTTTTAGTTGGCACAGTGAGCACTAGTAAGGGATATTACAAAATATCAATGCATATTTCTTCTAGCAAGTTGTTTTTATTTTTATTTATTTTAATCTTTAAGCACCATGAATATTTAAGTATGCTGAAATAAAACATTTGAATGATTAGTTGCTTTCAAAGTTGTATAAATAACATTATAGTTAGACATTCTCCCAATCGATGTTAAATTTGAAAGCAGCATTTGTTTACTAGTATGGAATGCAAAATATTAAAAACCAGTCAATGTATTGGCTGACTCCTGTCATTCAGGTAATTGTAGTTAGGTCAGCAGAAATAACAAATATGTTTTGCTCTTTATTTCTGTTTGGTCTGCCCATGGAAATGTTACATGTGCTTTTTGGAATTAGGTAGCATTAGCAGTATTGGAAGACAGTTGACTGAATGGGTTTCTTTTTAGGTAAAACTTGGAATTTGACTGATGTAAATATAGCTGTATAATTTTCTTAACAACTTAATTGCTAAGCTTCTGTTGCCTCACCTTCACTCACTCAGCTTAAAATAACCTTTGTTTCTTTTGGAAAATATGAGTGAGTATAGCTTTTCATAGCTTTCAAATTAGTTATTGGCTATATCATTCTTTTTAGAATGCTGTCTACAAAGAAGAATCGTTGCAATAGCTGTATAGAAATATATAGTAATAGTACGGAAAAGATGGCTTTGCTATGATTCTAGACATTGTTAGTATTTAATATAAATTCAGAGAAGCATTTTTGTGAAATATTGTGATATTCACAAGGGCTCTTGAAATGACAACTTTCAGTGATTTAGACTTATTAATCTGAAAATGAAATTTGCAACACTTTTATGTATTGCTAGCTGATTTACTGAAATATATAAACTATGTGGTGGAGCAAAGTCTTAGAAGAGTTTTATGGTCACTACTTTGAGAAACCCATATCTTACAGGGATTTGTAAACCACCAGAGAGTGTTTTAAGCACTATGGGACAGTATATATCTTCACTTAAATGTGAAGAATGTATGTGTTTCTACTGCCTCATGTGTGGTTCACCCTTGGATTATGAAGTGAGTTTAAGAAATTACTTTTGGGCTAGTATGGTTTTTTATGTAAAGGAATAATGCTGTCCTGTGAAGATTCTCAGTCATCCAGGTGAGGTTATCTGAAAGTTGAGTCATGGCAACTAGACTTCTTTCATCTTTTCACTCACTCCCAGTCCTTTTTCCAGCTAACGAGCCTGTTCAGACCAGGGGGAAGTGAAACTGTGGAGGATATATCAGGGATCTCCTACCAACTGTCCTCAGACTGAAGAAGGTACTTGGATGAGTAGTGAAACGTTTCAACCTAATAAGAAAGCAGCCCAGTTGCCATGACTCAGCTTCCAGATATTTTCTCCTTTACTGTATAACTGGGTTGTCAAAAAGGGTTTTCATCAAGAAATTTGAATCTTCCAGTCAAAGCAAGATGACTTCAAAGAGAACACCCACACATGATAGAGGTGACCATATAATTTATATTTTCATTAGTTAACAGAAATGCTGTTGAATAAGCTATTGTGTGATACCTTCATGAAAATGAACGTTGGCAAATGATGGGGGAACCGTATCTGGAAAGCTTACTAGGCAACCTAGGGTCATTCATCTCTCACAGGATTCAACCACTTCACAGGATTGTTGTATGAATAAAATGTATTGTAGGAGGAATAATACACACCACTCAAAGCTCTTGGAGAAAGAGCAGGGAAAATGTAGCTAATGTTTGAATGAATACATTTGTGGTTTTAATAGGAAAAGCACATATTCCTTTTTACCTGTGTGAAATCATATTACCTAATACTGAGTACCATAGATAAACTGACTCTAATATGTTTAATTTGAAAATCTGATATCATAGTAAGGCTGTTTGAAATTAATCAGGGATTCAAAATATTTGTATAGTTATGGGTAAAATTGTAGCACAAAACCAAAAACCTTTGCAGTTCTGAAAATGGAAAACATATATGAGAGTGCATTAACTTCTGTACAGAGAAGAATTACACTTAATATAGGGTGTTTTACTTTTTTAAAATTTATTCCTTCCTGTGCTCTCTTGTTTTTCCTGTTATTCACTCTCTTCTGCTTCTGGGTGTTTTATAGCTTTAACCAACAGAGCTATATTCAGCATTGATGTGTAAGGCATATAATTGCCATGTGGGCAGGCAAGTGTGCAGCAATGGGATGTGATGACAAGATCTGAAGTAAAATTGTATAACAGTGGATGGTGAGGACAGGAGATGGCATATAGGTAAAGGTAAAGGTTCCCCTTGACATTTAGTCCATTCGTGTCTGATTCTAGGGTGCGATGCTCATCCCCGTCTCCAAACCGTGGAGCCAGCTTTTGTCTGTAGACAGTTTCTGTGGTCACATGGCCAGTACAACTAGACACAGAGCGCCGTTACCTTCTCACCTTGGTGGTACCTATTTATCTGCTCACATTTACATGCTAGATTGGCAGGAGCTGGGACAAGCAACGGGAGCTCGCTCCATCATGTAGATCAGATGGCATATACCACATCCCTAAAATTAGGCCGGAAAAGTATCCTGATCATAAATATTTTTTCAAATGGTTTGTCCTGGGCCAAAATCATGCTGCTTAGTGTAGTAAATTTCAGTAGATGGGGATTTAGTGAGTCTACTTCTCTTGTAAGTGCCATTGATTCATATGTACCTACTTTAATTGTGAGTTAAAATAAGCCCATTAGAATCAATAGAATTTATGGAGAAGTTGACTTAGCAAATCTCCGTTGATTCAAGTCTTTAGTGTTATTTACTACACTAAACAACAGGGTTTTGGCCACTTGTAACCCTTCCAACATGAATTTTCCCAGGCCTCTGGTGATCTTGAATGCCATTTTCTGACCTTTTCCAGCTTTATATTATTCAGTTTTGATTGCTATAACTAGAACTGTAGTGTATTAGGTGTAGTCACATGGTAGATTTTTATGAGATTGAGATTTGTGGATATCATTGACATCAGGATACATAAATAAATTGGTAACTAAGCCTGAACTCTCGTTAGAACAGGGGTCAGGGGACTTTTTTACCTTTTACCCCTCCAGGCTGCCAGCATGGCCGCCCCCTCCCCCCTCCGCTGCAATCCACCTCTCCAGACACTGGAAGGAGAGCCCCCCTCCGCTGCAATCCACCTCTCCGGACACTGGAAGGAGAGGCTCCTCCTGGCCGGGGTGTTCTGGCCGCTCGCTCCAGCCTCACCCTCCGCCATGGCCAGCCCCACTGCCGCCACTTTGGCTGCCCTACGCCACCGGCTGGAACCCATTGCTGGCTACCATCTGCCATGACTCGGTTGCAGCTGAGTAAGGTGCTGCTTTCTGCTTTTAAAAAACTTTTGGGGTGTTTTTGCAGTGTGGTTTTGGGCTGGGGGGTTATGTTTCTGTGCTGGGATGGGTCTTGGGGGTTGTTTGTTTTTTTGGTCCTCCCCCCTGATTTCCAGTGAGTCTTGGGTTTGGTTGCTTTTTGGAGTGTTTTCCCCATTTCCAATGGGTCTTGGGGGGTTTGTTTATTTTTTGATTTCCACCCCCATTTCCGATGGGCCTTGTGGGGTTTGGTTACCCCCATTTCCGATAGGCCTTGTGGGGTTTGATTGTTTTTTGTGTCCCCCCCCCTTTCCGATGGGTCTTGCATGTTTCACTTGCTTTTTTGCTTTGTTTTCTTTGCATTGTTGTTTTTTGTGTCCCCCCCCAATTTCTGATAGGTCTTGGGGGTTTGGTTGCTTTTTGCGTTCCCCCCCTTTCCGATGGGTCTTGCATGTTTCACTTGCTTTTTTGCTTTGTTTTCTTTGCATTCCCAACGTGCTCTGTTTGTTTTCTTTGAATTTCCGATGTGCTCCGTTGTTTTTCTTTGCATTTCTTTGCATTTCCAATGTGCTCCGTTTGTTTTCTTTGCATTTCCAATGTGCTCTGTTTGCTTTTTTCTTTTTCTTTGCATTTCTGATGTGCTCCATTTGCTTTTTGCTTTGTTTTCTTTGCATTTCTGATGTGCTCTCTTTGCTTTTTCCAGTGTTTTCTTTGTATTTCCGATGTGCTCCGTTTGTTTTCTTTACATTTCCAATGTGCTCCGTTTGCTTCTTCCTTTGCTTTCTTTGTATTTCTGATGGGTCTTGCATGCTTGATTGCTTTTCTGTCCCCCCCCCTCGGCCAGAAGGGATTAATTGTATTTCCAATGAGTCCGATATCGCTATTTCCAGTGAGGGTTTTTTTGTTATTTTTTTCTTTGGCTGGAATGGATTAATTGCATTTCAATGCATTTCAGTGGGAAATGGTGATTTGACTTACGACCATTTCGAGTTACGACCATCTGGTCATCACTCTAGCCTATAGGAGCTGTGTTTTTAAGAGGAAACAAACAGCCTTGTCTGTGGCTTGTCTGTGGTGGACTGTGAGGGGTAAGGTTCCTAATTTTGCATAAAACTGTGGTTTGAACATTTATAGCAGGCAATTTCCAGTATAGAGCTGGTCATCACTCTAGCCCAGTGGTTCTTAACCTTTTTCAACTGTTATTATATTAATTATATTATATTATTTAGTTTAGTTTTGTTTGTTTGTTTACACACACACTTTTATACCATACCATCTGGTCCAGGGCCACAGTTTATAATGCTTTACCATATTTTGTTCATTGATATATGAATAAAATGTATAGTCTAGTGTATAATGCATAGCCAGTCTATGATTTCATAGACTCTAAGCAAGGGGTGCTAGTAAGGGAATTTTGTATCATGGCAGTGCACTGTTCAGATAATGAAATATCTGTGATGTGACTGAACTTGTGAAATATAGTATCTATGTTGATGTTTACTGCTGGAAGTCATGAGTGTGACAGCTATTGCATGTATTGAGAGTTGAAGTGAAATAAAAGTCTCAGTTACTTAGTTATCATCATTTAGATTGTTGTTGTTATTTATTGTCAAGTTGGAACCAACCT